TACAAATACCGTGGTACCGAACCGATCAATTATTACGCAGTTGCTATACACATTTAATATAACAGCGTGAAAACAGTTTTTCAAACTGTTCTCGCTTGCCTTTAGTTCTATTCTATAATACTCTAACTCTTTAGATTTTGAGCTTTACGTTCAGTATCGCCGTTAGGCACTCCATCAGACAGACGGCCAGCTTTCATCATGAAACGAGGTCTCTACTCCATTCTACTTTGAATTTACTCGACCTATATGTACTTCCTATCTGACATCACTCCAAACAGAGCTTACGTTAACGAAACGATACGTTTAGTTCAAACGAGGAGTCCTGCGCGTGTCGGCCGTGGCATTCGCAGTAACAGATCATTGCCATATTTCTTTGAAAATGCCTACAAATATAGAAAAATAATAATTGGCACAACGCTGACATCGGCTAGTTTAGCTGGCGAAATATCACGACGTGTACGTTCATTTAGGTTACGTGCTTCCTGACGTTCTCAATTATACGTTGAGTCGAACGGGGGCAGTTGCGTTCTTCGTCCTTACATGTCGAACAGACGAGTGCGTTTTCCGCTTTAGATTTAATGAAAATACGCCTGCGCACCTTACTTATTATTTAATAGAATCTACAGTGTAGGTCGCATATAGGAAATAACTGGCTAACCAACCATTCCAATAAAATGTACCATTGGCTCACAGTTAGATTTTGAATACATCATCAATAACAAGTTGGATCGTTGACTTTGTGGAGGCAGAGGCATCTTTTGATTCCGTTTCATTGTTAGGCGAGCAATAATGGTTCGTCAGTGCGCGATAACGCTTAGTCACGAGTTTGTTGACGTTCTATTTACTATGTGGCTATAAAGATGGCTCAATTTAGCTAACATAGTCAATGTCATAGAGGCTGAATAGGAAAGAATCAACTTAGGGAAGGGGAAGCGATCATACAATAATTTCACAAAATCTCGACTTTCGCTTGCAAAAGTAAAAAATGCTTGGATATATTTAAATCTGGTCATTTGACGGTTCTTTATATACGCAGTTTAATCTACGTAATCGTCTCTCTACCGTTCGTGAAACTATAACGTTTGTGAATGCTTTTTTCTTCAGCTTTTTAAAAAGTGTCATAGAAGCATCATCGGTGTTTAAAATAATAATTCGTAGGGTATTTCATGATGGCACGTAAAAATAATTTACGCAGGTAAATATCAGTTAATCTGAAAAATAGATACTGTCGTCGTCGAACAATTCGATGGAACAGCATTAATAAATCCAGTGAGACCTATTCAAGCAAGTGCAATCAGATAATAAATCTTTGTAAAAATATAATGAAAACATTTAGTTTCGAAAGTTTTCCCGGAAGAACACATGTTCGTAAATCGACATGGCGTCTATGTTTTCCACGTAAGTTACGCTTCTTGGCGACCAGGCTATCGACAGATTGTGAGATCGATAATCAGATATGTTGTTCACATCTGCTTGTATTATCGTTTGACATATCTCCTAAATCCTGCGAAGAATGCCGAAATAGTAAAGATATAATTAATAAAAGGGGTATACATAGCGAGACCCAGACCACACTGTAGGTGCCGGTTTTGACTAGTGGTCGTTGAAAGCAATGCCTAGCAGCACTACAACTATAGTACTTGTACGACCTGCCAAAGTTATTACGCAGCTAAGCATCAATATTTAAAAGGCGTGCCTTCGATCGATACCAGAAGCTCGTGCTTTGTTTGTCCTAGTCAAAGGGTTACACTTCAAATGAATCAAACAGCAATTTTCTTAGAACTTTTGAACAAGCTATCCCTTCTTTCTATTTGTATTTCAATCAGGTTCAATTTTGATCACAGTTTTTTTAATCTAATAAAAGCCTTTCATGCAAATACAATGTTTGCCAGTGTACAATGGCGTGGACCCAGTCTGCTTTCATATACATAGACTATGCTTAGGTGACAAGTTCTTATGATAATAAATTTATAGAAATTCGGAAATGATTAGATCATTATTAATTATATAATGATTAGATTGGTGATGGGGAATAGGTCCTTTGCAATCCTGGAGTTACTGATATGATAAGCTGATTTTGATCAGATTCAGAACACTCATGCCCATGTATGAGGAGTTCTTAGGTAGGATATAATGGTAGGCAAGCTGGGTAGATAAGCCTGTGACCAAAACTGAACTTTAAGCCGAACACTTCAAAGATCCGTGTCACTATGGAGGGTTTTATTTTTACGAGAAATATCGGAGTTATATAGAAGTTTTATTCACTTTCACTAGGCAGTTCTTAATGATTAACATATAACAACTTATGACAATTGAATTCCATATGCTTATGCATTTTCATAGCAGTATCTGATTATACGGAAGATATGACATGGACACAATTCCAAACGTTCGTATTTGCAAGTACTGGAATAAAGCTAACTGGGCCTTCACCTTATTCTAAATTGGGCTTACTGCTTACGAGAAGACTCAGATGCCTACCTGTTTCGTCCTTGTCACCCAGCTTTCCTAACGTCGTGTACATTTTCACTGACAATGGTATATAATTTTTTTTGCTTAACGACTAGCTAAATTATCAGTTTACATCAGCAGCAAGTTGTATCTTAACTGAATATCAGCAATAAGCGCACATCCAGCTTGCATCCAGTGCACACGTACTTGTGCACTCTATTCTGAAAACCAATGAAAAGTGAATCTACTGGAGAAGATAAGTCACCTCTTTCATAACACCTAGTATATATCAGAATCAAAGGGATATTTCCTTTATAAAAACCTCTAACTACTTAATTCCGTTAGTAATTAGCCTATGAAGATCCGATTTATGTTATTTTTTCTCCCTGTGAAACAGTTTATTAGGGTTAACTGACAGCCACCCTATAAATATAAACCGTAGTCCAAAAAGCATTCGTTTATCCCGTCGACCTAACCCAATTTGCACGAAGGATTGACAGTGTTGTAACTAAAATATGAGCAGTGCCCCTTTTAGCTTAAAAATTTAAAGCAGGCTTCATAACAAAGTGTTTTTTAAGCCAATGTAAATACGTCTGACGTTGACCAGGGGCACAGATCCTACTTTCTTGGTAGAAGAACATTAATGTCAAATGCTTATTAAATAATAGGTCACAAAAATCATAACTACAACCAGCAGCCAATCAAAACAGTCTAACAGCAGTCAAAACAACTATTAAAAAAGTACGCTTAAATAAAGGAACATTAAATGCCAATTTTTAGTGTCCTTCCACGCTGTATACCGTGTATATATTAGAAATAAACAGATGTATCGAGTTTTACATTCAGTACTACTATTACGCACTGATTCAGGGAACATGCTCGCAGGACGCCCAGTTTCAAACCTAGACCACCTTACGAAGTTCAGCAGACAGATATGTTACCACTACATCACCATGGGGCTATATTTCAGGAACTCCTGAATGTACAGTGAGGAAATCAACCGACACGCTGTGACTCGGTGTGCAATACACGGGTTTCCCCATATTATCTGTCAAACGCCTCAATATCACATCCGTGGAGAGGTCCCTGCGGCCTGTATCACACGGGATGTTGTTTACCTATGCTTTTTCTTAGTGGATCGGCACGTTTGTAAAAGATATATAGTGGACTGTGGCTATTTTGATATCAGTATTAGGTTTTTATGACTAAGGCTGTATTTTATGCTTTATCTACGATAAGTTAAGAAAAGATGTAACTAAATTTTAATAATTTTATATTTTGGAACTAATAAAATTAAATTGACCAGTGCCATTCTTGGACGTATATACTACCTTTAATGGACGATAGAACCAACCCAAGAGTTTGCAAACATCTTTTAGACTTCTAATTTTCCCGCCGACGTGCGTTTATTTATTAGAATGGAGAGAGGGTTCGGACCCGGGAATTTAAAAATGGCTGCCAATTTCTGGATGTCTGAACTGTTGCACTGGCTAGTCAGTTTTGAATGTTTGCAGCAAGGGCTAATAAAAAGTGACAAAATGTTTTATTCGATCGTATTTCAAATAATGCTTGGCATAGTTATGTGTAAACCTTCAGCCGAAATCAATATGTCGAAAAAACTCCCAAGAGTGTGTAGAGATTTTGAAAATATTACATTTAATCAACTATTTTAAGCTAATTTTTCTTCTTCCCTTGAACACAGGAAGCGACCGACTTGTTTCAAAAACTAAGCACAAGTATAAAAAATTATCTGTAAAAGATGTAAAAATGTGAACTCGTGCAACGTGGATCAGTTTTGAACATGAGTGGTATATATATATATATCTATATATATATATATATATATATATATATATATATACATATACATATAGGTGAACAAGTTGTCGCTATATTGCCACATCCGTACCGAAACTCGCTAGTAGACTCTATATATAGGGTCTATATATCTATACTTTCTGCTCCGATGCAAACCGACCTGTGTGTGGTGGCTCAGATCAGAATGTGTACACCGCTGAATTAGAGTAACAAAATTTGTGCAACGTTTCCGAATCTTACCTTGATTCGGTCTTCCCTAGGTTCAAAACTTGTAGTAACTGCGGTGTTTATTAGAATTCAATTCCCACATTATCATACCATACAGATTGTGGCCGAAGGTCACTCGTTAATTATCTACTGAGTGGTTGCGTTGCCTACGTTGAGATTCAAACAGAAAACATGCGTGAATAGTTGTTTTCTTTCATTCTAGTATTTATAGCTGAATTTTCGAGGGAATCATAACACTTCCAGAAAAACCGGGCGTGGTAGCCTAGCAACAGTAGGTTTTGATATTAGTGTTCGAAAGAAAGAGGAGCTCTTTCTTAAGCCATTACTTTTGTATTCTGCCTTTTGCGGCGCTTTATTTCTTTCTTTTTGCGGTCAACTTTTTCCCATGGGGCAATCGAAACAGAGCATTGGAGTGAAGATACTATAAACGCTAACGTTGTCACATGCGATTTAAGTATGCAAGAAATTTCTATGATATTTTTAGCTCTTTTGTTTCTAAACAGGTGGTTGATTACAGAGATACGCATTTTTCAACGCCAATTAAAGAGCAAAGAGAGTGTGGAGCTTGTTGGGCGTTTGCACCCACTGAGGTGATGGAGGCTATGAGATTTGGGTTTCGTTCTGCCAAAGTCGAAAAAATTGCCAAATCACTTTCTGTACAACATCTTATTGATTGTTCAGGTAAGACGTCATAAGCACTTGCAAGATGGGGGTAAGCATCGCTCTCGCGTCTGGACTAAAGTTAGCCCCAGGGTAGCAGAAACACATTGGTGAAGGCCCACATAAGGGAAACAGAGTCTCTGCAAAATCGAATGACTTGAACCTATAGCGAGTATCCGCCGTTACAGTTCAGCTACTGACGATAAAGGAACGAAAGAACAGACAACCACTATTGAGCTGCGGAGACGTAATCAATCGCAAAATTAATTAATTGTAGCTTGAGGTGATTTTGATTTATCTTGTTGTTAACTGCCTTGCATAGACCTTTTTTTTTTTGAATATTATACTGCACAGAAAGTCGCATTTTGCAGCATTCATTTGTCTTTCTTATGTTGGCAGCAATGGTCACATGTGCCAACGTTATTCAAACACAACCATTTATTTTTAATAATATCATTCATGAATGATACAAATGTGTCTGTTAGTCAATCAAAAAACGACAACTGGTTCTAAATCATTCGTAAGTTTGATTGCTATGTTCATCTGAATGGTACCTATAAAATATTTAGATAATCTCCAGTCGTGGTTCATATGCTATTACTATTTGTTGGTTTTCTATGTAGTTATGTAAGCAATATCTTGATACGTCTAAACGTACCAACGAGAAGAGCTATATTTTTATAAGGAAGGATGAAAACTATGAGTTATCTGCTTTGCCACAAAAATACGTTAACAAGAAATTATAGATGCTTTTCTTGTCTCCTGCATGTTATTACGCATTATTAGGTGTCTCTTATGGCTGTAAGGGCGGGGACGTCTGTGATGCAATGGATTACCTGATAGCTACAGATTATCAGTTCGTTTTGGAAGCGGACTATTTACCATATTCAGCAGTCAAGCATAGCACGTGCCAAAGACAGGTTTGCTTAATAATCAGCAGCTATAAAATAGTAAATTCACGTAAAGGCATGGGTTTTTTTCTCCTTCCAATTAGTCTTATTGTTTTTAACCTTGTCATACATCTTATAAACAAGCATATAGCAGTAGTTAAGCCTGCTGTGGTAGGATAAACTGGCACCTTAGCACGCGTTGATTTTTATTATATGTTTGTGGAGCTTAGTTTGTTTAAATTTTTAGATATGCCAAAATATTTTTCGTTATTTAAGAAAAAAAATGGCGTCATTAATACATCTTGCATTGAGAGAAGTAAAAACAATTAACTCTTCCGACTGTTCAGGCTCATGCAAAAACTATTATGGGTGTTTATTTCATTACAACATTTCTCTATTCTACAGGTAACGCCATCTGCCAATATTACCATCGGACAATCTACGTGTGAAGACTTTTCGAAGTCAGAAGGTAATAACAGGACAAGTAAGAGGAAACAGATTTTTCATTGACCCAAGAGTCAGCTTAGATTTTTCTTCCTTTATGGGCACCTTTATTAAAAGTATAGCGAACATAATTTTTACAGGACGGTTACAATACAGGAAATATATCATATAAAGAAGTGCTAGATATTCGCTATTATATATATAATAGACATTAGATATTCTAGATTACAACATTGTGTTACGCAAAATAAAAGAAGGATTTTTATCTCACCTAAATTATACCATCTGTTTGTTTATGACAACTTTTGAAAATATTGGATTTTAGAGAAAATAGTATTTATTTTTTTTTCTAACTAAATTGATCTATAGTCATCTATCTCAGGTAATACGAATCGTGTCTAGTAATTGCTATGATTTGAAAGCCGATATCTGATAATAGCAAATGCGTCGACTTTCTTGTGATGCCTTCTTTCAGACTCAAAATATAGCGCCATAAATATGAGCAAAATATTTACGAAAAATCGCGATATTTTGCAATTCTATTACGATAAAGGCACAAATGTTGGCCATGCCTGTAAGAATACTTGTGTTGTTCGTGCTCAGGTTCATTATCGGACAAAATGGCTCAAAGATAGCTCTGGAAGTTTCGATATGGAAAAAAGCACGATGTTTGAGTGGCACACAGATTGATTGAAAGAAATGTACTCTATTCACATCTGCGAAGATCTATAGAGACGCAAAAAATCGAGCACCTTCTGAAGCGATGGACCAAGGGTGAAGAAAACTAAATCACACACAATAATAATGTGCAAATAAAACCAATTAAAAAATGCACTCTAAAACTTCTGACAAAGCTCAGATTGACCCTAAAGATAGTGCTATGTATTTAATGTTAATAGAAAGGAACCGCGCATTATGAGTTACTGCCGCCTGGCAAAACGATTGATTTGGAGTACAACATTACGGCGAGCCATGAAGAAAAACAGACTGAAACTAGTAAACAGAAAAGGCGTCGTTTTGGATCATGACAAATCCGGACGACATACATCTGTTGCCATTTGGAAAACTTGAGAGAACTTAAATGGAAAATTTGTACGCATATGCCGTCTAGGTCTTTGCAGAACTCTCCCAATGACGTTAATTTAATTTCAATGGAAGGATGCAGAAACCCTTGATGTAATTTTTCACCCAATAACCGCAAAAATGTTACAATGATCGGAATACGGCATTCATCGACCATAGATACAAGTCATCGACCGCATATTTAGTTTAGCAATATTCTTTTAAAATGTAAAAAATATTTGCTTTAATTTTGGTTTTAAAAGTGTTGACACTTTTCAGACAATATAGCATGCGTTACAAAAAGTAATTATGTAGCGAGCTTATTCTGATGCTGTTACGCAACATTCTGTTCTAGAACGCAGGCGTGTCAGTACAAAAAAAAAGTATCTTATATGTTCTGTATATCGAACTTCGCTTGGAGCATCACTAAGATAAAGACCTTGCCATAGATGGTAAACACATTTGCCGACAGGTAGTTCGCCTGCCCACTCAAGAATTTTGCTGTCGGTGGACTCCTATCGGTTGCACGATTCTCAGGCATGGATCAACTTTTTTGTCTCAGCACCACTGGATTTTGCGTGATTTAATAAGCGCATACAGAGCTTATGGATAAAAAGAATTATGCAAAAATCACCTTAGCTTCGACCAAGTTTGAGGCAAATGTAATCGTGTGCTTCGTTCCTGATATCACAATAATCGCTACGAACCATCTGTAAAGCGAAAAGCGTGCTGCGTATTCTGTGCAGGAGTGAACTTGTTTACTGATCTCCGATTTCGGAGTAATCTATCGTTTTTGTGAGGTCGGTGTCGATATCCTCATTCACTGAGTTGTACCGTATTTGTACCGAATACTAACTACAGGCACAGTACATTAAACGAAAATAGAATTTAATGTTGATATCATTTAAGTACGTTCTGGGCTCTTCGGCCACCCTAAAGAAATTTTTGTTGGAAGACTTGAAAAGTGTTGTGTCTAGATAAATTCAAAAGGAACCTTAGGTGCTGTTTTTTAATATTCGGAGATCAGTGGCATGACTGCGGTGTACGCCAACCGACGCTTGCTTTTTCCAGTACATTCGAGGCTATACTCAGCGTTTAAGGGATAGTAAAATTGATCTGTTTTTGCTTATGCGTTTCTGATATTCTGATATGTATAGCTGATGTTTATGATAAGCTAATGACTAATGGTATCTATAGCCACTCTAGGTCAAATATGTTTGTTTCCTACATTGATGTATTGCTCTTTATCGGTGTAGGTCCACACCACCATTTGGTGTTGACGTAATAAAAAAAAAGTATGTATATAGACCGGTGTCTATGTTAAATATGATTAAAAAAAATATAATTATATTGATGTAGTCATCCCCCAGTAACCGCAATTTGCTGTTTCCACAGACAGTCTTCTGTCATTCATTGCTTACCATGGTCCCGTCGTCGCTTCCGTCGATGCGACAGTTTGGAAGGACTATCTTGGAGGAATTATTAGGCAAGAAAACCCTCTTTTTAACAACTACATAACGACCTTAAATCTAAAACTTAAGTGTTTAGCATAACGAATATTGACTGCCACAGACATATCATCGATGTTTTATCAATACCTGTTAGTAAAATTGGAACAAATCTCGATGTGCCGCGTAATACTGATTAATTGTTCAAGCGACGCTTTGTAAAAATTTTCAAAATCTTAATTCAAGCATAATTCTCTTCAATCCTTGTTGCATCCTAAAAGTAGTATGACATGACATATCCAGCTTATAAGAATCTGATTAATTTGACGTCTGTTTGCAGGTACAACTGCGACGCTGGTCCAAAAAATCACGCAGTGGTGATTGCTGGTTATAACCTGACTCACTCGCCTCCTTATTATATAGTTCGCAATAGTTGGGGCCGCAGCTTTGGAGATAACGGTTACATGTATATTGCTACAGGAAGAAACCTCTGCGGAATCGCGGATAAAATTACTCTTCTTTACCCAAAATATAATTGATCGTGATATATTTATGCGTACGTGAAGTGGTTCTGTACGATATACTTTGCGTGTACTCTTGAAAATTAGCAACGCGACCACCTCTACAGTTAACTAAAACCGCAGCAAACGCTAGTTTAGAGCTTTTCGTGTAAAAACGTTTGAATTCATATTTACTATATATCGCAGGAACTCGAAGGCAAACTTCACAAAATTCAGAACAATACAATTCACCTGCAGTCCCATTAATGAACTCTATGAACGATCTTTTTATTTTAGCCAATAAACTTAGGTATTGTTTCCACACGGAACCACTTAAATTGCATAAAAAATCGATTCAAATAGATATTTTCTTAACTGAATGTGTACATCTCATGACATGCTAACTTTTAATGTAGTTTTAGCGGTCTACATGCTCTTCATTAATTATATGTAGTAGAAAACCAAATCAATCGCATTTAACGACAGGATTGCTAGAATTAAGATAGAGAAATACGAAAAACCTCTGTGAAATCCAATTGTTTTTGTAGGGATTGACTTCAAGCGCTCTGACATCTACACGACCCATTTTACTGCTTTCTTTTCGTTCGAGGTAGTTTGGATTCGCCGTGCAATGACATCAATCTTGTTTATTAACTATATATATATATATAGATTTTATATCACTATAGTTCAAAATTGATATAAAAAGAATATTACGAAGAGCCATGTTATACCAATAAAATATACTTTTCACAGTTTTGTCCATTACTAAATGCATTAAAAAATATACTATATAACTGAATAAAACTGTTTCTCTCACCTAAAAACCTCCATAACTGTAATCATAGAACGCACGCTAGCTGTAAGCTCGCGGATTATTACATGACTGGGCAAGAAGACCTTCCTTAGAACCTGCCTAATCTTCAGTTAATTTAGTCACTTTTAGTCACTTTTACTTAGATGGCTACTGATTCAGCTGAGGCGCAATGCTATAGTGCCTTACTCCCATCAAGTTTGCTTGCACCCATGGTAAGTTCCTAAGTATGATTATCCTACCGTTCTGTACGTGTGTCACCAGCTTATCCATGATTCTGTTCTGTAACTTCTTATATTCGCCTTGTAATCTTTGCCAGCTCCGTAATTAGAAATGTCCGCTAATCGACAGTTTAAGCAAAATGACGAATCCTTACTCTACACATTACAGATCGAACTCAGATAAATAATACGAAGTGAATGGCAAGCGACAATTTTTGAAAATGCGCTGATTAAAATGTTATGATAACTGGTCGGTCTTGCAGAATGGAATCAATCTGGTTATTGATGCGATTGGCGCATAAATTTGCTAGCCTGTCACTTGACCGTAAATAGTACACACCTTAATATATTATTCTGTGGTACACCAGATAAATAAACAACCGATCCGTAGATTAAATGGGTACAGCCGACAAACTGTCAAAATTCCATTGGGCAGTAAGGTTTACCATACATATTGTTTTTAGTACTTGGTAGGGTATTTCCCGTGCAAAATATAAATGCAAGTTTAAGGAAATAAATATAAACAGATATTAAATAGGTTCAGATGGAGTTCAGTAGCATGAACCGCACCTCAGGTCATCGATAAATTGTACTACTCGCCATCTTTAGATAGCCTCGTTAGTAGTTCAGACACTTTATTGCCCGCATTATTATAATCTCAGGTCATGATGTGATCTAGACATGTGCTGAATCTACTACATCTTACCAATTAGCTATTATATGGACCTCAATCGGAAGATACGCTATATGGATTAAGCCTTTATTTGTAGCATGAAAACGTTAGTTTTAGGCATATCATTAAACTTTCGACATCCTTGCGATAAATACAGGTTGAATTTCAGCCGAACTTTAAAAAATTGTAGTGGCCAGTAAATTAGTTCCATATTTTTGCATTTCTCTGAAAGGTCATACATTTTTTCAACAGACTGAGAGCAAACTGATCTCAGAATAGACAGTACATCCTATGGCTATTTCAGAGGTCACAGAGGATTTTTGCGTTTTATATAGGAAAAATATTTCGAGGATAGATGTCTGTTCGTTTTAAATTCACATCGACACACAGCTCCGTTTGTACTAGATTCGACTGCAGGCTCAAGATAAACCATTCAAAACCCGGCTCGGCAAGAAGAGGTCACTTGCATTTAGGAAGTCAAGGCAAATCGCAAACTGATAATCTGAAGTTTTCCCCTTGCCGTCAAATTAATCATTTACCTCAAATACCTATTTATCTATTATATGAATGGTGCTTACTATAACTGCGCATAGTCTCCTTTGAAGAACGTTAATATACGACAATCTGAGCTTGACATTATAATATAGTTTTACAATATGAGCTAAAGTTTTTTTAGCAAGACATTGAGTTAGCACAAAGGAATTGCGCAAATGAAACTTGAGCAGTATGGGAAATCACTTACGACTGAAGTAGCATAAGCACTCGTTGGGTTTTTTTTCAGTGAAGTTAGTTTATAGCCTATTGAGTATACAATTACGATAAGAATAATAGTAATCGACGACATTCTTGTTATGTCTCACATACAATATAGGCGCGAACGTCCCATCGTGACTTGTAATTTATTCATTACGCAAGTAAGAACCCTAATATGGTCGGAGACCGACAGAAGCAATTTATTGTGCATATTGAATTAAAATTTCCTTCCTGAACTCCGTGACGGTGGATAAATGTATTCATTCATAACACTACAATATCACTTAGAAAACTGCTAGGGAGAATTTTCACGCGGCATGACTGATTGTTTTTCGCTTTAATCAACAAAATCAAAAAGTGTACTTGTATAGTTATCTTTGTCTCGAATTAGTTTGTCGGTCCACGAAATCTTCTAATAAAATGAGAATCAATACATGTAGGTTATTGATTAATATGTAGAATAGAAACCTTTATCTTAAAACATTACTTAGCATGTTTCACAAATAGGTAAGTATGTTCACTACGTTGTCTGCGTCGCAATGTGCAAGTGCTCAACGATCTACGAGGTTCTTTCACTCTACAAAAGCTATCAACATCCACTAACCGATGGGAAGTTCCGTTTGCTTTACAAAGTTCTTAACTGAGAACACACATACCGGCACTTTGCAAATCAGCATTATGCCATGCTACTGCACAGAATAGGTGGGTTAGATACAAAACCGCTCCTTAGGTTTTTCCACTAATTGGAACCGCAGCCACAAAGCTTATGATATATTAAGAACGGATCAGTATTGGAACTCAGCGGGAAGCATGCTTAATAGAGCAACAAGCATCGCAATCATGAAACAAATGAAAATGACCATTATCCGTTTTTCACGCATATTTGCAGCGAATTAACAAGTGCCGTGCGCCTTAGTTTTGTTGTTGTTACTTCTGGTGCTATTATGGTGCTATATGCCTGTGCACTTCGCTTATCTAGATTACAATTTTACTTGTTTACATGCTACACAGCTACATTCGTTTTGCTCCACGACATTTTACTTACGGTAACATAGGTTCACACAAGGTTACTCGGACTGCGCCACATACATTAGTAGAGGTAATTCCAGTTACACTGGGATCTCCCATTTTTTTTTATAAAGAGATGACATCTCGGCACTGATAGAGAATAAAACCGATTGAACCACGGCTAGATTGTGTTATCACTGTAAATTGCGCCGAAGATTTAAATAGGCCAGCCGTTATAATTCTAAATAAGTAAGCTAGTCGTTGTAATTCTAAATGATCGCATCAAGCCAAAGTACTCTGTCGTTCGCTAATTAGCAACTAACAACCACTAACTTAAAATACCAACTTAACAAAAGACAGTGCATGATGCTTTACCCATCGTAAGATTTATTTTACACAGAATAAAGATAATTTTCATTAGGGCCAGATATTTTAAAAACTTTTGATCATTATCAATTCACTTAAAAACCAGTCAAAAATATTTTCCAACTAAAAAGCTTCACTCATACGTCGTCTTGTAATTTTCCTTTGTGCTGATACACCATCACTGTTGATTTTGATTTTCAATTTTTTTTTGGACGTCTTCATGCGTCATGCAAGCCGTTGAGTGAAGAAAAACCTGGAAAGGGCATTTTATATATTATAATAACTTATATACAACAACTGAATTTACACGGTTATCAAAGTCATCCGTCAAAATCTGCACAGTCAATTTTAACTACGTTTTTCATAATATTTGAGCTAGATGTGTATAAAGTACAATCATATATCGCATTTTTTTCAGTGTTACGTTTTCCGTAGTATTTGAGCTAGATGTGTATAAAATACAATCAGATTTCGCATTTTTTTTCCAGTGTTATGAGAAGCAATGTGTTTCTACCTGTTCTAGAGCCTCACCTTAATCTCTTTCTGGCAACTAAATGAAGTTTGGAAGTTCTTCATCACCTCCTCGGAGTCTCAGCACCAGATGAAGGGTAGACTCTTTTTGAATGTTGTAGTCGGAGAGCGTGCGACCATCCTCGAGCTGTTTGCCTGCGAAAATCAACCTTTGTTGATCGGGGGGAATTCCTTCCTTGTCTTGAATTTTGGCTTTAACGTTCTCAATCGTATCGCTTGGCTCGACTTCAAGAGTGATCGTTTTTCCGGTAAGCGTTTTAACAAAAATCTGCATACCGCCACGAAGTCGAAGGACAAGGTGGAGGGTGGACTCCTTTTGAATATTGTAGTCCGAAAGGGTGCGTCCATCTTCAAGCTGCTTTCCGGCAAAGATCAATCTCTGTTGATCGGGGGGAATTCCTTCCTTGTCTTGAATCTTGGCCTTTACGTTCTCAATTGTATCAGAAGGCTCCACTTCCAAGGTGATGGTCTTCCCAGTAAGGGTTTTGACGAAAATTTGCATACCTCCACGAAGTCGAAGTACAAGATGAAGAGTGGACTCCTTTTGGATATTGTAGTCTGAAAGAGTACGTCCATCTTCTAGTTGTTTACCGGCAAAGATTAGCCTCTGCTGATCAGGGGGGATACCCTCTTTGTCTTGGATTTTCGCCTTAACATTCTCAATTGTGTCAGAAGGTTCAACCTCCAGGGTGATGGTTTTCCCGGTGAGAGTCTTTACAAAGATCTGCATACCACCTCGCAGACGCAAGACAAGATGAAGGGTCGATTCTTTCTGGATGTTGTAATCAGAAAGAGTACGTCCGTCTTCCAACTGTTTACCAGCAAAGATTAACCTCTGCTGGTCTGGGGGAATCCCCTCCTTATCTTGAATCTTCGCCTTGACATTTTCGATTGTATCAGAAGACTCCACCTCAAGGGTGATAGTCTTTCCGGTTAAAGTTTTCACAAAAATTTGCATTTCCCTATAAGCACAAGAAAATCACAGCACTGTGAGAGAAAATTCAAACAACGTAAGTAGCAACGTGAACGAATAAGTGATACCGTTGCTCAGGACGTAAGAATAGTAGATAGCGGCGGCCGTCAACAACGTTACATTTTTTTCCACTGCTCCACTGCAGCTTCGGAACATCAGGTTTGTCTTAGGTAACCAAAGATTTACAACATGCTAAATCATTCAATTATTTGAAACTTTCAAGTCAGTGGTATAAATCACATCATATCATCTATATGATTCTATAACAGACTTCTTTTAGGGCTCCTTTGAGTGCAAATATTCTCTTTACCAAGTGCAATGGATAGGTCGAGGGTAATACGTAAATAAGATCTCCTAGCTATGTTACTAAAAAGGACGGCATTCGTCATGCGTATGACTCAACCCCAACGAACCAATGCAACTGCTTTCGCATGCTAGCAATCGCATGCCCTGTACGCTGTATAGCTAAACGTGATCTCGTGATACGAAAACGTGATACGAACTCGTGCCTTATTTTCTGTTGCATCATGTAAATGCGTACTTCATTGATTACGTATTTAGGTTCGTACTGGTGTATGTAAATCTAACGATTCGTCCATTTAGAAACGCCCAACATAGTTAGCACGCTTAGTATCGTGATGTGGTTTCGAGCACCCTGTTCAACCGAAAGAGTTTGGATAGCCTAGCATTACACGATTAAACTAATTGCGGTCAGAAGCACGGTCTAGTAGAGACGCCAGTCCTGGCTTATGGCATATCAAAAATGTTGGGCTTAACTCCCAACGCACTTCCGGCAAATTCCATCTACAGCAAACTCAGACAAGCGTCGCATTTCAAAAATTCGCGATATATAAAGATGAGAACAGCAACTGAATCGTTACAATTTGACAAAAATCACTCAGAACTTCTAAGCTTCTCATTAAAACTCTTGAGTACAACAAGCCACGCCGTTACACATTGGATTTTAACGATCGAAGCCGCTAAACTACGATTTCTCTAGAAAACTCATGAAACTCATTCGTAACATAGACTGTATATTTAATCATATAGTAACATTTTCTAAATAATATGTAATTAACCTAACTTACGTTTCGCGTTAAGTGTATGTTTGTTTCAAGAGCACACGCGGTCAACTTGAAGCCAAACCTTATAACAACCAGCTGACGCGCTCGTTTCCTTTATATAGGATTTGGTGACGGCAGCAAATGAATGTATCCCTAAAGCCCTGCTTGTGATAGTGATTCCTAATGTGAACAATCTAAGCTGCTAGCGCGCCCTCTCCAGCGTAGCGCCTATATTTGAAATGGGGCTTCTTTTAGAAACCTCCATCTTTTTTTTTTTTTTTGCTCTAGCATTTGGCTTTCTGTACTCTACCATTTTTGTGCTTCTAAAAAACATCAAGCGTATTAATATTAGAAGAATACAAACGTCGTCTATCTGTTTATTTATAATAAGTTTATTAAGTTAGGACTAAACTGCAGATATAAACAAATTAAGATGCACGGTTGAAAAATTGTGAAAATAAAAGTAAATTGTCAAGTTCTTCATTCACATTACAAATAATTATGCTTAAGAGTTAAAACATCGTAATAGAAGAATATTAATTGCCAGTAGCGTTTATACACGGAGCTAGTGCTCACAGCTCAGCGCATTGCTAAAGGTTGAGGTGGAAGGCGAGAAAGGTTCGAATTGCTCATTACCACAAAGATTTATAAAATACGAAAAAGAATAGGCCACTGGTGAATGCTGCCGTTGTAGATGAAGATATTTTTTGGTATATTCTGTTATTACAAAACAATCCTGTGTTATCTAAATAACGATATCTGACTAGCTGAGGGATTACTGTGTGCATCGAATCCTATGCGTAATGCATGATTTTTGTTTCGTCACTGAACTATAAACTGCCCTAGTGACGCTTGGAACCTAGCTATTTACCGTCAGTCCTCTGATAATGTTTTTCTGAGTATTACATGCTCAGGATCAGCCTTTATCTCTATTGAAATTTAAAATATGTTGAATTGACATATCTATGCTACAACAACGAAAGCATTATACAACATTCTGTACTTTGTATCGCACAATATGTGATCTCGACTGAACAAGCCACTGTACGCGAAGCTTTTCGCTAAGAACTGACTGCACCGGTTGTGTGCGATATTTACAATTTGCTTGAAATTAGTTTCGAAGGTATTTATCTTCCCATGCCATATAATAAAATAATTGCAACCGGAAAGGTCTGCACTCGAGGTACAGTTTAGGTTGTATTGAGTGGTTGAGTAACTAACAATAATAAAAGCACGGAATAGAACGAATCACTTCAGTTAAAGTAACGGCCGAATCAGCCTGTGCGCCGGACAATTTAATGTGGAGCATTATTAAAACTTATCGCGAATATGTCGCTAATGCGAGCATTGTTCCCTCTTAATCATCTAGTAGAGTCGATTTAACAATTAAGACTCAGACGTACATAGCAGGAAACATCCAAGCGTACAACCATAGACGCGCTGCTGGGCGGAGTCCCTGGTGGAATTTACAGACTTGTTGTTGTGGTGATGATGGTTACTGTTATCTATACGCGGGTTGTCTAGAAAGTTACGTAACCTCGTAGCATTCAAAGGTTACGTAACTCGCCATACAGATACCTATATTATTTCATGAATTTTAAGCCACTAGGCATTGCTTCGACTGACTAAAACGGTTTTCTCTTAGTATAAAATAAAACGTATTTTTGTTTAAATTCAAGTTTAATAGGTAAACATATTATCCTTTCCGCGATCACGGAGATACATATAAAGTTCTTAAAAAGAAAGTAACTTTTTTAAGCTGTTCGAAAGGTCAGGAGGCCATCGTGTTAAATAAATGAAACTTTGTTTTATTCAGGAGATTAACCTGTAAATCCCGTTAACGGAGCCCGTTCGTCTGTTTCGCTTCCATGGCAGCATAGAGCATGGGCCAGCGTTTGAATTTTGCAGTGCCTACTAGATTCACAGGAAGTGATTTCTGGGAAGTGACTGACCCACTGTAGCTGAATGTAGAGCGTTTTCAAGTTGTGGGAGTATACGCTTCTGTTTGTCCTCATGGATTGTCTCGCAAAACTGTCGAATATTGTTTCCCGATATAGTCACTTGTGCTTATCGGCTGCCTCCAAAAAAGCTTGTAACGTTTTTTAAGTATGAACATATGAAAGCTTTTTCTATTTGCCTACAACGGAAATTTCCATATACATCAAAATTGTAAGTTCCTTAGCGCAAAACATGATCTCGGAATTCAAGCATATTTTCGGTCTAACTTTACGAATAAAACTAGGAACGTCTTAAAAGAATATCGTTACTTGAGATAAAGTTGAATTTCTTTGTGAACATCTTTGAAAATGAACGTGACCTTCCATTGGACTCATCTCATCCCTAGTAATGGTATATGTGATTGCGTGTCCAACTTTCAATTTCACAGCGTTGAGGGACTTCTGTAGAATATATACGTTGTATTTAACTGAAGTTGAATATAACTTTAAGGCGTATATGATGCCGACGACCTAATGGGTCGTTACTATGAGAAATCGATATGTTCGCCAAGGTACGCTGGTAGATTCACTACGCAGCAGGTTGTTCAGGACTAGTGCTCGCTGGGCGTGACCGAAATAGGTAGGTATCTCGATAGCCTTACTTACCGACTATGGAGACAGGCAGGAAAGCAAACTACCCCGTGCGAACAGCTTGCGTGAGCTATTCGAGCTTGTGATCATTTACTTTGGCAATTTCACTGCCATAACCTGAGCGTGGCGCTAGAAGCAGCCACAGCCGGGCGAATGAATCGCGCGTCAGCTTACCGTTAATGACACAATAACAATGCATTGCATTGCAAAGAGATTACTAAGCTTTGTTGTGACGCTCTATACCGAAAACTGTAACTTTTCCCTTTTTTTTTTTCTATACGAGATGATTGTATTATACGGATTGCAGGCTAAAGCTTAGTCTTTATACACAGACATCAGCATTTTTCGCAGTGGCCACACTTAAGTACAAGTGGTTTGCAGTTGACACGGCGACGTTTATATTAGTGTGAAGTGTTTTTCCTTTCTCACACAAAAGTATACCTATTACTCAAGTAAGAGGCGCAATCGACTATATCCTGCGACGACTCAAGCTAATTATAGTAATGATTGTTTAAGCAACGATAGAAGGATGTGTGACGCATATAATAGACAAAAAAAACTTTTGATACAACATATATAAGGCGAAAAAAGCTAACTCAAATGCGACAGTCATCAGAGGCGTTGTCTAACGAAAGTTTAGGCTACACGCTAAGTTTTTGGTACGAGGGCTCTGCAACTTTTGTCATAAGTTCGTTTGTCTCGACAATTAGCAGATGAGCTGCTAGGCAAACAACGTGATGCACCCATGCGTCCCCTGAATCAGCAAAAACTTGTGCAAGCTAAGGAGATCCAAATGACAGAGACGTCACATGTAACTGCCTACAATGTGCGTTCAAAATTCAACACATCGCAACGGTACCATTAAATTAGACTAAGCGTTGTCGTTTCGATTGTTTACAAGCTGGATGACGGACCAGGCTAGACTTTTGTCACATGCTTTCAAAATGACGGGCTATTCGGAAACTCACCGTCAAGATGGCGTAAATTTTCAAAACAAATTAAATTACTTTATGCTTATGATAGTACCTATGATTATTTACATGGTATTTATAGCCGCGGTCAACCCTATTAGACTCGTTCGATTGGCAGGTCGGATTGGTAAGTGTCGAGATATTTTGACGCGGATAATTACAGAACCGTAAATATATATATGTATGGTTCATGCGTACCCTCGAACCCACTTTAGTCAAACAGAGACGTTTTGCAAAGACCTGACTATCACTAATATTGGGCCTGCTTGCTAAAATTTATGTCATAAGTATTTATCACTTGCACATAGACTGGAAGAACGCATCTACAGCAATAAAAGTTTGTTGAAACGCAGCTAATAGGATTATATGTTAAGGCGAATTAATGCGGCTTCAATGGCTTGTCAGTAGAACCTTGTAGAATTCTCCAGTAGTAGCCTTCTGCTTATTGTCACGCTATTATTTGTAGCAGTCTTGAATTGATACGCGTTTGGCTAGTGTCTCGGTAGTGAGAAAGGACAGCAGAATATGATATCGTTGAGTATAGTCTCATTCTTGCGGACAGATATTCAAAACTGGCACCGTGTACGTAGGATAATGCCTATAATACGCAATAACAGGATATTTAGGAGTCTTCAACTAGTTGGTCCGCGTTGTGCTTACATAAATTAATAGGCTGTTTTTGTATAAGTTCGTTTTCCAGCAGCTGAGGAAGGATCTTATCAGCTATGTTGCCTTGACATTTCTATTGCGGTCTTTTGATCACGAAGTGAACTGTTAACTTCATAATAATTGCAACAGATCTAATAGTAACAATCTAATTGTGCTACTGCCGAGGTGGCACAGCCTTCATTATGCGACCGTGTCCAATATGTCTTCAGATGGTATCCTGTAAAGTTTTGGACGGAAAGGACGGCCTTGTAGCAGTCAACAAATGACTGCGTAGGCAACATGCTGTCTTTACGGGTACAGTTAACCGTTTTCAGAAGAATAGAAAAGAGCCGTGGACAAATGTGATTGTATGCAGGACCACATGAGCCTGTTATGTATGCAACAGGCTCATGAAAAACATGTTTGCTAGTCACTAATATGAAAAAAGTTATAATTATTTTTCCGAAATGAAACAGATTTGGTGGATCAATTAGAGTTCAAATCCAACAACTTCTCAATTTAGACAAATAGCACGTATACATGTACGCATAAACTGTCCAAGCTATTGTCCATGTGGATCAATTATTGCTAAATACCTTGCGTTGAGAAGGAATTGTTTTGCCTCGGTATTTCTGTGCGCGTATTACTATCATGCTAGATCTGCTACGCAAGCCTATATTCATAGGCCAGGTAAATATCTTCTCGAGTCTAGAAGTATACGAATTATAAACTAATCGCGCTTCAAGGCAAAGAAAAAAGCGCAAGAAGGTATCAAAGGCCGTCTTCACTTGTCTTCATGGCTCTTTCTTTTTGGTCGTCATCAGCAGGGTAGCCAATGCGATGTGACTCTTTCTAGAGAAGGTAAACGTTCCACGTCCAGAAAGATGCTGTACATATTCTGCGTTTTTAAAAGCCTTCTAGCAGTCCTAATCCACACACTAGCAACTCAGCAGATCGATATTTACTTTACGACACTGTCTACACACTGTTTTCACAGTGATTGTTGTTTTTTTATTGTATACTTTTTATTAATACGTGCTTTTCTATCTAGTAGGTATAGAGGTCTCTATTCGTAAGTAACACATGGTGCGATTGCACGATCTTTTTAAGGCGACAGTATAGCTTCTTCGAGATTTTTCAGCCGACTGGCTTAGTATCGAAATAGTTTGAAGCGGGGATCAACAGAATGTTATAAAAGTCGTCCTCTTCGTTCAAATGTGATAGTTAATTGGGTTCAGTGTTATTGAAAGTAATATTAAGGCACCTTCGTTAGCGAAAGTATAGACGCATTCTGTCGTATCCAGTCAACAGATCTGAATTATTTCTGGGAACAACGCTACCCGCACCCCAGGTCGAGCCGTACGAAACCTGAGTTTACACAGTTATAAGAACTTCTACAAAACAAGCTGAAACCGGATCTACTACCAACGAGAACATAAAATCACTATTTGTATTACTCCTACTTAATCACTACTAATTATTATAAATACTAGTATTACTATTATCATCATAGACAAGGAATGTTGTGTTATCGACGAGTCACTTTGAAGCTCTCAGTTTTCTGAAATGACCCGAACCTACTCGTCCTTCAAGAGAACAGCGCCTTACGCTGAGTTCTATGATCTGAAAACATTGGCCTTACCCCTATGGCTACTTCGTCGTTTTACGGAATGATATCATATGCAGCTAAGAATCAACTATCAGGTTACGCGGCTATAGTAATTCTTAATTAATCGAAACATTCTGAGAGACGATTGTAACGTATATGAAATGAGATCATGCCTTTACACTGGTAATAAGAGGGCAACTCTTTGATTCAGCGTCTTCATACGTTTAACATATAGCAAAAGCTTGAGGCTTTCATTAATATAAGGTTGGTGCTTTGAACCGACAGGCGAAATGATCGGCATACGTCTTTTTCCAAAAAAGCATCGTTGTTTCTGGTGAACCCTTGGCACACTGAATGAATTGAGTATATCAGAAACCTTAATTCAGCCCCGTATGATAGTGTTTGCAGTATTTTTATAATCCTTAGCTAGAACTTGAGAATCTCCTTCCTTATTTTTGTTGTTGTAGTTCCAAATTGCTTTTGGATACACGTTGAGGGTGATATCAGGATATTTGCAACCAGTAACAGCGATCCTTCGATGTAAAAGCACTTCTAGCTTTTTTCCATTAAGACCAGTAATGAATAGATCCTTTGAGCTTTGGTAAAGTCTGAATAAATGGTTTCAGTTTTACGTTCAATATTGCTGATACGTATTGCTTCAGTAAACCCTTCTTTCCGATGGTCGATGGTATTGTCTTTACAAGTTAAAGCGCATACGAAATGAGTTCCTGGCTAAGTCAGTGATAGCAAACCCAAAATAAAATTCGAAATGCTTATCAGACCGTTAAATTCAGTTCAAGAAGCTGGCATTGTGTCGCGGATCTCTCGTAGAAAAGGATTATAACGCCTATAATAGGACAGTAATTTTGTATTCTTACGGCTGGAGTTACCTCATCATTAGGATAAACGGTATTTGTATCTTCTAGCGAAATTAAGGGTTATCTGAGAATATACTAGATGAAATTTAAAGATAACAAAATTAGATAAACGATATATGTTGAATGACAAAGGCAGTGAGTGTTGTTAGATTCAATTTTATCGTGGTATTGCCATAACACAAATCTGTTGGTGGAAGCGTCACGTTTTTTCAACGACGCACGAGTTTTCACTACAGTTTTCTCGTGGGTTATCAAGGCTGATGTGACACCTTGAAACACATCGTCATGTTTTACATCGTAAATTTTGAATATTATAAAGGTAAAGCTGCTTGAAACATCAGTACTAGTACGTTGTCTAGTTCATGATTCTTACAGCCCTGCTGGCTATTAACATAGTTGTTGATATAATTGAGCACCCTATTCCAAGTTTAGGTTGTGCTTTTATTTGTTTAATTCTAAAAACTCTAAACAAATATATGCCGGCTTATACGCAGGCTTGTGCATGATGTATTTTTTATTACGTGTTCGATGTGATATCCAATATTCTTCTTTAAATTTAGGTGACAATTCGCTTAATATGCTCATAAGGTTCGCAAGCCGATATGATTATTTTAAGATGGCTAAAAATAGCGCCGGCCAGTTAAACGTGGCACAAGAAGTCGTTAAGTTGGGCCTGGTTTCAGCTAATTCAACGCATTGCCTGCGCGCCATGCCTGTGAATAGTTTTGAGTGGGCAAATAAATGAAGAAAACGTTCGATCGAGCAACGAACGGAGACAGATTAAACTAGATTTCGATGAAAAGAGGGCCATCGACTAGACCGTTGTCGAACCTACACGATAGGTGTTTCTTTCCTTTACCGGTTTTCAGTTGAGGTTTTTAACCGTTGTTAACGATCGTTTGTGGCATCGGCGCTCGGTAAAGATAGATTTACAGTTCATATTTGGATCATTCGTCTCGTAGTTGTACCTATAAAGGTTAATATCAACAGGGTTTATCATGTAAAAGTATAGTTGTTATCGGAAAAAAGTTGCAGCTAATCTAAGATAATTAGATTTTGTCTATATTATAGTTATTGACAGCAAAACCAGTAAATGTGTACTAGCTGAGTGTGGTATGTTTCTCTCAACGTGCAATCAGTATTTACAAACGAAAGTATAAAATAGGAGAAGCAGTATTATTACGGGACTGGTGACTGTCATGCTACATATGTACCATATCTGTCCAGCTTCATGTGTGGGCACCCATGTTTGCGTACTCATTCAGCCTTTCCTTTGTAGTTCCTTTCTGTTATACTATCAGCCCATTGGCTCGTTTCGACTATAACGTTGATTCAGAACCGTGTTCTGTGACCGTGTAGCAATTGTCGTGTTTCTGTGTATCGAATCACCTGTGTTCCATTGTCATTAAGCTCTAACATCTGCGTCACGCACGCAATGCTTATCGTTGTACACAGTTTACTTCTACTTGACTCTGACTATAGTTACTGTAGCGAGTTGGCGCGCATTTTCGAATGCGGCAGCTTCGTTCTCGCTCGATTTGGGTCGCTAGCGTATCAAGTAGAGTATCCGACTGAACCTATGTCAGCGCAACCCATTATTTCAATAACAGGATGAATTTGTACGGTGGTTCGCTAATCACAATGTGGATTTATTTGTGTAGATTAGTAGTTTAGAATGGATGGCTGACTGCTCAAGAATGACTTCAATTCTTTTTGCAATGAGCTGACGACGATTCACCGATTCGGGCGAGTGCATCACCAAAAAATAGAAACATAACAAAGCATCGCTAGAGTATCATAGTACCGCAGAATTTTACCGGTTTCTTTGTTAGCAGTTTTCTAAATTAAAACTGACTTGGTCATCGGTACGCTTGTTTTTGCACGTCTATTTCCTAGTAATATGTGCAAATACGTGAATCAACATTACATCCTACAACTTGGCATCTAAGATATTAATTAGATACGAGCTTCGCAAAACACTCGCGCATTAAAAATCATATCTTATGCTTGTCACTTGTATTATGAATACACAACCTATTTTAGAGCCTGGAGAGGGAAAGCTTTCTATTATTCAGTTTGCAAGATAATCCTCCGGTTCCAAGTTAAAGAAATTCAGTCCACTGACCTACTGGCGGACGTGGCTCTCCGGCTAGTTAAACGTCTAGTTCCTTCTATTAATATGATAAATTATAATGCCAACCAGAAATGTGATCGGTTTAGCACGTTTTCAATGGTGCTTAACGTGCTCCAGTTAGTAAGCTGTTGGATCTTGCATGTGTCCCCAGTTCATGTAGTTTATTGCAACTAAGTTTCTTTATACTAAATACATTTTCCTTAAGAGCAAAGGCGTCTTAACTTACACGTACATACATTTCCTGCACGACTTATATCTAACCATAGGGACAATGAACAATACTTTTCAATATACGAAAATTATGAACATTGAAGCCCGTGTTATCATAGATAATTATTGCCATTAAATGTGTTTTTAGCTTAACAATTACAAATTGAGACTTACTTATGATGTATAAATCATATTGAAAGCGATGTGATGTAACCAGTCTTGTAACATAGTTCAAGCAGCTGATGCAATGTGACTGGCCATTAGCGTCGATTACTATCCAAATAATCGTCGCATAAGATTTGCTATTTTCAACAACGAACACTACAGTGCGTCAGATATATATATCTCATAAAGATCTAAAATTATTAATATATGAAGTATGTTCTTCAGTGCCAGTAATATCCCTTTATTTCTCGATCAATTTATAAATCTGTTGAGGAGAAGCGATTCAGCATCTCCTTTATAAATGTTCTTCAAACGATATGTTAAAACCATAGTGGTAGAAAGTAATTGTTAGAAGAAATTGAAAATAATTGAAAGAAAGTAAAAGACTAAAGTGGTTTCGGTAATGGCTTCCGTTTAAAAGGTTATCTTTTTCAGAAAGGCACGACGAGAAGAACTGAGTTTTGTTTAAGAAAAACTGGACAATTATTTCATAGATTATATAGTCACATAAGCTAACGTATATACGGATATAGTAGTAATATAGCGCGTCGCCATTTCTAGAAAGCAAGCGGAATAAAAGAACTAGAATAAACGATTCTTTTTAATTCAAGTTTTTTTTTCCATACCGAGTTAATCATGGCTTTCGCTAGTATAATCTAATAATCTTCGATTTGTAGTCTGGAAAACCACATCAGCGTCACTGCGTCAAGCGCTAATGGAGTTATCATCATTTAGTTAGCATGTGACGGACCCATCGTTTCAAAAGCTCTGCACTAGAGGCTGCTTAATGGTAAGATAGTCTATCGCTAAGGTTTTTTTTTATGTTCGTAGCCTTAGATAGGGCATGTGGCAGCGTTTTTTTTTCAAACCGCATACAATGGCTGATTGGTTTATGTTTATGATTCTGCACGTTCGCTTTAATCAACAGAAATACGTTCCAGGATGGATATCATGTGTGAAGCACGGATATGTGAGCTACTTATTTCATGACGCCTCAAAATAAATACCTTCTTATGGATAGGTTTTGCAATGTTAGGCACTATGCTCAGCTTTGACTACTCGACTATTAGTCTATAACTTAATGCTCTGGTTTAGCACTACCTATTCGATAGTTCAACACTAGAAGAATCATCTTGTGACGCTACGGCCTGTTAAAAATTTTCATAAAAAGATTATTTTTGACGATCTCAGATAGTCTTAGATGGTCCATTATGTAGCCTCGGTGGTTAGCCTTTTCTTCCGATAACCATTCAAAATCATTATAATCATAATGTATAATATGCGCACTCAGTGCGTAATTTACAGTACTTTTACAGGTAAAAATCGACAACCTGCGGTATTATACAGTTACTTGCTGCAATCTTGTACAGTATAATATATTCTTAGACAATGAGGTGTTGGAATTGTCATGTATCAAGCGCCGACAATATCCAAATTGTAAGTATTTATGAACTCACAAATCGTTCAGGTATTATCATTATGTGACGTGTGAGTTTTAATTATTAAGTAAGTTTTAATTGATGTTTAACGGATGAATAACGGATATTAAAACGCACAAGCAGTGCTGTGTAAAGAAACAGTAAAATATATAATGTTGTTTTATCTACAACACTTAAAAACTGAATAGGTATTTTTGTAAGTGAAACCTGTCGTCTTGCGGTAATCGCACATTTTCATCAACATTTTGGGCTTAGAGTAAAGAAATACCACCTCTGTTTACGAGAATAAAGTCGGAACGTTTTTTTTTGTTATGATTCCTAAATATTAGCTATGAATAAAAGTTGACGCCGCGGCATACGAGCCCAGAAGTAAGTTGTACAAACGGCCCGTCCGAAGACTTTGCAGGAATACATTTAAGACTACCAACCAAAAACACACATCTACTAAACGGAGGAATATTTCTCATATAAATGAAGTAGGATACGGCGATTTTACAGTTGCCATTCACAGTGTTTTCTTCTTTTGTCAAACAGCGCCATTATTGGTGACTCTATATACCTACAAGACGCTGACAAGTGCCATAGTTATTCATTCATAGAAAAACTACTATGAAGACTAAAGGAGATAAAGGTGACAGCACAGTGACATCGATTCGAATTCATTTTGTTCTCTTTTTTTTTTTTCGTTTTCGCGGTTCAATAGGGGTATTATTATTATTTATTTGATTTTTGCTCTTTGCGCAAATGTTACTATTGCTCAATGAATCATTAGTTGAATAACAGAATGCTTTGTTAATATTTGAAATAGTACCGTGCTTACATATGTCATCGGAGCGGTTAGTTGTGTGGTGAATTTTTATTGTTAGTGTTCAAACATGGCCGCCGCACTTCACAGAGAATACGAAGACTTGTACGTAACTCGGCCTTTCCGAAGGTAATTGAGCCAGTTAACAGAGCTATGCTAGTATGTGTCTCGATACGCGGCTTTCTTGGCTCATAGCAAAAATATACGACTTTATGTGCTATGTTACTTTAATTCTAGGCGTTAACAAATAGTGACAATAAATTAATAAAAGAGAAATAGAAAATAGCAATGGCCAGGCAACTGCTCATATATGTTACCCTGCCATTTTATAGGTCTAGAAATCTACCAAGTTTATCTTCTTCCACTTGGTGGAAAGCCCAGATATGTACAGCATCCTGCCTTACCGAAAGGAAATTTTCAAAATTTGTCCGCGTAGGTGCTGATGATTAGTTCAAAACACGACAAAGCAATCGATAAAGGTTTATTATTATTATTCTTCTAATATATATATTAAAAGAAGATTTTGTATATATCTCTTACATCTATTTTACGACACTATACTAAATGGTACAACTATGAATACATTATTTATGTTAGTAGATCTTAAGCCCGAAATCTAGAATGATGAACAGTTTTGGCGCCAATAGTCAGGCTGAAGTGGGTGAATAGTCCATTCAATAATTTAACAACATACATATTCAGAAAATCCATCAAGTTATGAAATATGTCAGTAATTATTAACCGTACATCTTCACAATGATATAACATTAGCTAGAGAACCTAAATAAACTCGCGCACGATAAATCGCGAAACTATATTAAATTGAAGCTACCCGGATGCATAAAGCGTTTACCAAGTAGACTATAAACAAAAGAAATCAATAGGGTTCGCACAAGCATAATCTATTTTACACTGATCTCGTCTTTATAGTTGATAGAAGTTGTCCCATTTCGGGTTTTACGTCCAGTACTGCCATTGAGCGTTGCTTTAAATGATTGACTCGCAGTACTAAACAGCGCCAAATTTCAAACGAATATTATCGTATGTTAGCAGACAAACATGTTCCCTATGGCAATATTACGGACGTACGAAACCATCCTTGGCTACATCGCTCATGGGTGCTACTGATGTATATTTATCAATATAAATACGATCCGCGTTACCACTATAGCTCTTCTATCGATGTGCACCTGTGTCTCGAAAGTTAACTCGATAGATCATAGCCAAAAGAAACTTAGATCGACACATAAATATATAGATTAGTTAATGATTATCACTGTGTTTCGAAAACAGCGTAGTAGTAAAATATAGCACTTTGTACTTCGTACACAAATGGCAAATTCATATTATCTCGCATCATAATATCTGTGTCACACCCGCTTCTCTTTTCTATTATATTTAAAAGGTACTTTATTTATTTATTTATTTAAGCGATCAATTGGGAAATGTACCTTTACTTGCGTTAAGAGACGCTAAATCATTCGAAACCGCCCATTCATAAATGTATTAGCTAAACATCGTCCCCAATATGTTATTGAGCTCAGTAAAGAGAAATAGCTATTTTTATATTCGATCGGAGTATTTTGCTCGAACCTTTTATGGAATCAGTCATTTTAGGTAGCTTTTTTCGGAATCACGATATATGCCTATGGGAAACTCGTAATGGCTGAGATGGATCTACATTTCGGAGAAATTTTGCAATTACTGATAGCAATTTGGCCGCAATCAATGAAACAAACAAAACCCTTATACAGTTTTTAGTTTTCGGATGAAAAATACCATATGATAGATGAAAATTTAACACTGCGTTTTATGTAAAGGATCTAATCAATAGACCTCGACGAGCTGAACAGAAATAATTTCTAAATAAAAATGGCGAAAAAATAATTTGTTTATGTAATATAATTAAGTAATAATACTTTTGAGTGAATGTTTCATATATGTAGGATAAAAGAAAAATGTTCTATATCGTTATCTCAAATAACTATCACGACGCATCAAAGTCAATTACTATAGAGATCATATATATTCAGCGTTACGTCACATGTGAACTCAGCGTCGTTCAATGGTCGTTTGGTTACTTGGATAAATAAAATATATCAAAGCAGAGTTGTTCAACAAATATCAAACTAGAGAGAAGCTATGCATGAATTATCGCCGTCGGCTCAATCGTTTTTCAGAGGTCAAATAAGAAAAAAAAAATCAGCTAATGTAACACGAGTTTTCTATATCTTTCTGATCGAACTGATCAGGGCTCATATTTGTATTACTTTTTCATCAACCATAAACCAGGGGAACGCCAGAAGTTTGAGGACCTAAACAGTAACTTCAAACAGCCACATTTATTTGCAGTTACTATTACACCCAACGTATCATTAATGGATGACAAAGCAAACTTTTAGAATAATTATTACTTTCGAATATATATGTATATTAGTTTGATTGTGATCACGTAATATGTGTGAGAGCAAGTTTCTAAAACTGCCGCAGTGGTTATACAATTTACCAAAAACTATCTTTAGAAAATTTCGTATTCAATCATGATAGTCGTCAATAATGAGGCTAGAGAGAGGCCCCATATGATCTGCTAAACTGTTTGTCGATTTTAAGGATTCAACAACGAGAAAAGAAGAAGAGAGCTTCAACACTACCAAAGCTGCTTCGGATGAAGATAGCGAGAAGGACATTGAATAGATCAGGAATTATATTGCTTTTTAATTGATTCTGGGAAGCAACACCAATTACAATAACAATAAAAAGAACGAGCGGTTTGGCAGCTACATTTGGCGATTTACTTCATTTTTTTTTTCATCAATAAATTAGATAATTCACAGCAATGACAGTTACATGTTTAAACTTTTCATTTTCAACACCTAGGAGTACTGTTGCGACATTGTTTTAAACACGCCGGCCACAAGCGTCATATGCGGCAATATGCCTCAATTGAATTTTTAACTTAAAACAATATTCTAGAAAATTCACTATGCTCTTATTGCTTTATACTACTATATATAATGCGCAAACTTGTCTTCTCAAGTTAGACGGGATCGAGCTACGCTGACACACTTTATAGAATACCCATAGCTTGTTTATATGTATCATTGAAATAAGCTTCCCACATATAACCATTATATTTTTATATTATTTATGGTGATATAATAATCTATCATTATAAACAACTTCTAGAATTCTATTTTTGATATTGTAGAAACCGATACCATTATCATTGTTATTGCAGAAAAGGTTATGAAAACGAAGCCGAAGACAAAGCAGTAAAGCTACACATTTCACAAGATATACTTGGTGTAGTATGTAACGAAAATACTATGAATTTATGGGACTAGTTTTTAAATCTATATCCAAAACGTTAAAAATAATTTATTCAAAAATTGTCAAAAACGTGTTCAGTATTGTATATAACCGTGTAAGAGATAAATTAAGCTCATTATGTTTTAAAGAAATATTTTTTTCCTTTTTGTACATACCGTAGCGTGTATTAAAGAAATCGTAAATCATTCATGAAATTTAACTTTTAACTTAATTTTAAGTTTAAGGTTCATTTAAAAAAACAGGTACTATTTTAAGACAAAAGTTACTTTATAGAATTATCCTATTTTTAATCTGAAATCTATGATTCGGAATACGTTATATGATCGAAATGTACATGTAGCAAAAAGATAAAATGCTACGAAAAATAATGCTACTTTTACCACTAGATTTTACATGAATTTCATCGATATGTTGCAACTATCCAAACATCCAGTATAAATAATTGTTGTTGTAATATAACATTTTCTTCTCCATTGCAAATATATCACCAGTCTGATTAACGTGGGTTCCGAGTGATGCCAAATAAGACACGAAAGGATCGCTGTAGCAATAACGTGTCACAGAGTTTTTTTTTTTTATGGATAATCTCGAACAAACAACAGACGACAATGTGCTATTTGTCACTCAGCTTCCCTGGGCTGTGAAAATTTATTAAGTTGCAGTCCATTCCTCTAATGAATGATCTGAAAAGGCCCCAAGTAATGAATACAATATATGATCAGCCGTCTACTAGTCACTTGCCTGAAAAAACTCTGTATGAGTTGTAGAATACAAACGAGGACAATGTGTTGTCACGCCCCACGACGTAGACCCCGTTGTTGGTCTCTGACGCGTGTTCCTTTTCTTTCAATATTCATCCTCATCATTTTGGTTTTATTAACGCCAGCGATTACGTTGACGCCAAGATGTATCCCAAAAATATTAAGAGTAAAATTTTCGGTAACACCTTCTATCATTCCCATAGACACTTCAATGATCGTGACCGGTATCCACTTCCGGTCCATCATTGAATCTTCGTTGCTATTGATATCACAGTGCTTAATTTTACAATTCCATTTGAAAATTTCTAATTCAGACACTCAATTGGTATTTTTGGCGCAGATGTCATATTGTAGGTCTATGATCTCTTCCGTAGTTCGGCGATACGTCTTGTCCTTCAAGAGATTTCCCTAATACAAACATGTTACTATTGGTGATTCTATGTATGTCTTCTTCATAGTATTCAACTTCACCCCATTCTATCTTATCCTATATTTACTAATAACATTTGGCAAATAATACAGTGACTTTAATAATCCTCTTATTTGAGAATATGCACCTTCGCAACGTTCGCCTCCATAGATCTTGCTGTTCATTTGTTATCTGCCCTAAGTGAACTATTCATTCATTTGGCATGCGACAATAACATTCTGTTGGAAAGCTTTCGAGGCGGTTTCCGTCAGCTACTATCGACCAGCGATGAACTCGGTGTTCTAGACTCGATGATCGGCTGTACCGTGTCGTCCTTCCTCTGAAATGAAGAGGAAGCGTATGAAACTCAGACCAGCCGGAATGAAACCACGAGAGAATGAGTGCTATAAGGAAGCGACGGCGTTAGTACAGATTATTTTCGTATTTCTGAACAATACATTCTCCGAAACCAGCTGCAGTCGCAGACTAAATAGCCGATCGTTAACCCGAATATATTACGTATATAGTGCTAAATTGTGCTTGTACTATGTCGGTATTAATAAGTGAAAATGTATTTACTGCACGATTTTTTAATTAACGTATAAATTATTCGTAGGCACAACTCTGACACAGGTTCATAGGATCCTGCAGTGGTATTTGCGGCTCAGAATCAGATGCACCCACTTAGTCTACAATAGTTGGGCTTGTAACTCCAGAGATAATAGATACCGGCGTATCGATAAAGAGACAAACCTCTATTAAAACGATGTTAAAACCGTTTATTTATCTATTAAAACATATATTACCATTTTTTTGGTAGAATTTTTTCGTAGATGTCCTGTGGTAATTATCTATTGATTTATATTGTATGAGCGGGCAAATTTTTTTCATAGAAGGGCATTGTTTAGCCTGGTATATGCATAAATATGCAAGATTTTTATTGTCCAAACAGAACGTTTTTGAACCGTCTGCAGAAACGCACATACATTTTACGATTCTAGAGATTAACTAAACCACCGACGCATGATTCTCAGGATTGTGTACATGTGGGGACCGCTGGTAAGATAGTGTTTTCTCAAACTGGCTAGTCGGTCAACATGTCCGATGTTTTCTATTCTACTATAATAATATCTGTAGGCTCAATACAGAATAAAATACATATTAAAAACGAACGAAATTATATTAATAGTTTAAAAAGGTTCCAACACCAGGAATATTTTCAACATACAAATTTCATTCAAAATGAATTCTCTCCAATAGGCAAAACGTCCGACAGAAAATCCGATATTTAGTGGTTTTTGCTAATTTTAACCTAACAGAAGGCCTGACAGTCCCATCAATAAAAAAAAAGGCGTGGAGATCACTTTGACACAAACTCATACATAATATTTTTATTCTACATTATTTGTAAGTTGATAACGTCCGATACTAATTATAATAATCGTCTGATACTAATACTGATTCCTAAAAACATGTTTTTTTCCCGGTTTTAGCACGAGCATCGTTCTTGAGTTTGTTCCAGTCGAATCAAACATCGATTATCTTTTATTGAATATATTTTTATATGACTTTTTTGGGATGAACAAACTGGAGTGAAGAGCTGTGAAATATTTGCTGTAAACTTTGATAGTCGCGTCAGTAAATATATAACCTATCAATTGATTAAAACCAATTTGAGGCACCTAAATTGCTTGGATAAAAAAATGTTCAAGTAAAAATTAACAACCAGTATTGTACGCAAAGGCCTTGCCCACTTGCTCATGAAGGACTAGAATTTCGTTATTAGAAGAACGTTAATGAAAAATTATTGATAAATTATGTATCATCCATATCTTTATACGTAATCTGTGTCAAAGCATTTTACGTAACTTCGAAATCAACTAGAATTTCACAGTGTATCACAATCAATTTAGTAATATCGTTTACCCTTTTGATGAGACGTCACAAGGGTATGATGACAGCGATCAAATTTAATAGCCGTGTTATTTCTGCTAGAACCCGTAGGAATTCTACAATTTTTCAAATCAAGTATCTCGTTACCCACATCCCCATTTCTCACCAAAGGTGTGAAGCGAAAAATGCCACTTGTTTACCAAGCAACTCTTTGGTGTAAACAGGCAGCTTAGAGTCGCGTGAGTGAGCGATATCGCTTTCCCATACGATCATCGATACACCTCTGGGAAAGCGTCTCTGTACCATGTTTTAGAAATCCCGGTCTTGACTAAAACAATAGATAAGATAGGATAGATTTTCTTATAAGTTCATTCTCCGGCGGTATTTTTTTTGTGAAAAAACTATCTATCCAGACTATCAGGTGATACAATCTGGCAAACGAATATCTCGCAGAAAAGCGTTATCTAACAAACGACATTCTATATCAACAGATAGAGCGGTCAGAGAACCGTTCATGGCTACTACATATATAAACAAAAAAAAATACATATATATATATATATATATATTTTTTTTTTTTTTTACTAATTACAGTACGTATATATAGCTGACTTAACAGGCGAACCGTACGAACAAAATATTATTATATACTGTTCTAGATTCAACACCAAATGACCATTTGTTATATTCACTAATCATAACTATTTATATTTGTAAAATGTATGCGCCCTGTCGTCTATTTGGCATATGAATAATAATGTTTACATACACAAAATGCAAATTTATGTACGCTAGTTTAATTTATCGTTCATTATTTCTAGTACTCTAATGGTATACACAGGTCATTTGGTCAAGAGTTCTGCACAAAAGTTTGCCCCAGCGTAAAAATTTGCCCATTGTGTTAACAGAATCTTATAGCTAAAAATCATTAGCGCGTATCATAGCGTTTGCTTGTTAACGCGTTCAACTGGTAGATAATCGCTTGATGTCCTTCGAATCTAGAGCGCTTACTTGCAAAATAGAGCCGATATGGCAGGTCAACCCATTAATTCAGTCAGTCGCCTGCGCTGTTTTCGCTGGCAGAAAAGGCTGTCTTGACCAGTGTCGCGATGGAACGAGGAGTTGAAGGTTAATGGGGCAGATGTTTACATCTTAGAAATCGATTTATAAATCATATATACACGACAATTATGTGCTGATACTTCGATATCTACACTGTCGTTCCCTTCGGGGATTTCCTTCGTTACAGAGTTCCTTATAGATGAACTATGAGACGGAAATGTATAGCAAGTATCACCTGCTTGAACCTGCAATAATGACATTTTTAAACAAACATGTCTATTTATTATATGCAAAACAAGCATGGTCTTGTAGCGCAAGAATCCACACCATCATATAACGCCTTCAGGTGATAAGCATCGCTACTGACTTTCTGCGTCTCTGTGCATTACCCACTTATTTTTATAATCGCTCACTTCCAAAAATGAACCTAGATAGAATGAAATCATACTCAAAACCTTCAGATTAATCCAAGAAAAACACTATCGAAGGAAAGAAAGAAAAATGTTTTACGCATTTTATACTATTTGCACGTCTTTGCTTTGGTATTGTCTAGAAGTGCAAAAGCTTTAAGAATAACAAGCGAAAAAAGCCAGACTCGTTCCACATCGTTAGGTAAAACCAAAAAAGGATATATTTATTCAAACATGTTCAAAGGTCCAGGTGCCGCGTTACCAGCAATGTTGAAAGTTTAATAAGACATACAAGTACGAAAAGCTCCCATATCATCATAGAATTGAATTTTCAATAGCTCGAATTTATTAATTGAAGAAATTCTTAGTTTTTCATGAGCACAAGCCAGTTTGATTTTGATAAAACTAGAATTTTCTAAAAATAAACTGTCCAGTACCTTTAAGAATTTGTGTTATACTTGCATTAGCATATAAAGTTGTACGTTGTGTTAACCAGACGAACATCATTGTAAGAGGATCCGCTATGACACGGAAATAAAACGATATCCATTTAGAAAAGGCTTTGTTTTAAGGCCTAATAGCTACTCAATTCATTATATTAGAAAGGGATAGTAGGTTAGCTATAAAGTAGTAGGAACTACTCAAAACGTTCCATTGGAGACGTAAAAGTATTCCCGTAACGCCAAGACTTCGCTCTTTTATTCGGTTATCTTTCAGAGATCTGCTTTTCAGAAATATCGCATATTACCCTTGTTCCCACGACGTGTTAACCTTAGGATACAATGTACATATTTGGGTTTGAACAATAACCCGTACCTCTTAGCTGTGAATAATTCAGATTCACGTTGCTATAGCTGGCCATTTCCTCGATCCTTTCGCATGCTCTGCCTATGCCAAGGTTAATTTCTAAAGCATCGAGCCTATTTTAACATTTTTCGTACCGTCTGCACACAACCAAGTACAACAGATACTGAAATTGCCAGCAACAGGTGCTCCTGTTTGTCAGCTTTCGCGCCGGCTTTACACAGAGAAACATACAGCAAAGTCTAACATCCATTTTCAATGAGAACATCCCTTTGCAGAGTTCTAGGCTTGCATACGTATTCAATCAATTAACTTATGTGCAATAGTTTCAAGCTTTCAGTCCCTTAATCTATTTGATAACTAGAGACGCTCTAAACAACGCTAATGATGGACGTCAATCATCCTGCCTATACAATTTGTAATTAGGTATTTTTATACGCTATACAATTTAAAAACGACATATCGTATAAAAGCACACGCGCTTCTCGGGACAAGACCAGTTTATACAAGCTTCCCAGCCAATTCATCTATTCTAAAAATAATTAGAATATTCACAGATAAAATGAAGGGCAATACTGACCTAGAATACAAATCGCTTGGGGCATGTGTAGCATTCTAACAGGATATTTGCTAGAAGTACCCAATGGCGTGGGAACTGCAATAAATTTGGCTACAACTGTTAAATGTTGGATGTTTGATATCTGTGTATCGGCTTTTATATGGCCCGTGTAATTTATCACCTGTTTTTTTAGGTTGATTTGCTGAAGAGATTTAAATTGATATGTTAACATGTATCTTATAGTAGGTACGCAGCTAGTACAGCCAGCACAGGATATGTATATTAAAATGATAATGATTGGAGCGTATTTTTCTTATATATAATATAATCTGATCTAGCGACCTAATCGTAATTATATATTCTTGTATAATAGTGATTTCACGAATTTTGATATCAATAGTCGTTCGTAATTAGCGGATAACTAAGTCTGCTTTATGTTGAAAGGGCACTTCCTCAAAAGTTCAGCGAACTTCAACTATAACGGGGCGTAAGGTGTCTAATGTTTTAGGCATAGCCACCTACGAAACCCAATGATGATGGATGACAGCCATTTTCTAAGATGCTCACGGCATTTTTCTCCAACCGGCTCCTCTTCTCTTTCGTTAGTCGTTACGAATCCATCAAGCCTGAAACTAGAAAAGTACTTCGCGAAATCAGTGGCAACATCTACCTAGCTGGGTAGAATCAGTTCGATTGATTTGTTCTCCTCCGGGACATTGATACCCTGCCACACTGATCACCAGAACGAGAAAAGATGTCTCTATTGGCATTCCCTATGACGACAAAATGTTCCATTAGACAAAATGCCCCCGCTCCAAACCATGTGGCTAAACTACATACCGTCAGCGTCGTGATCAGTACGACGATAATGTCTTTTCCAGTTAGTCAAACTGTGTCTCTCGGTTGTTTTCGGTCGGAGATAGCATCGAATACAATCTTCGCCGAACAGCTGGCGGTGAATCAGAAATACGATAAACGGTTTAATTTCTCAGCCATCAAAATTATAGAAACGACCAACAACATTCAGCCAATGACGGTGTCGGGCTTCCCCTTTCCGGTGGCATTGGTTCACGTCTGTGCGCTGTAACCGGCTATGTTAGTCAGCGCGCGAGTGGCTGTGTATGGATGTCATGCCCCAGCGGCAATGCAGCCACGGCGGCGGCCGCAGCCACGGCAACAACAGCTGCCCCCGTGAAACTGCCAAGCAGTTTAACTGCCCGTTCAGTGTTACGTGGGGTTCGCCGCTACCGCCACAAGTGTGAGGGGGTTGCGGCAAAAAGTTCGGCTTGTCGCTTTTTCTATGGTAGTTCGTTGTTGAAGGCAGAAGTCGACGTGCGTCTAGCCCCATAAAGGCTTAACAGAAGGCGGTGCCGGTGGTGGCGATAGCGGTACAGTCTAACGTACCGTGCTGTAATGATTGGCTGCGGGCACACGCGGGGGCAAGCGGCGAAAACTGCAGAAGACTTGCAGAAGCTGCCCCACTTGAGACAATTAGAATAAATAGCATCTATATTATTTAGTACATGGTAGCGGTGATGATGCGGCAATTCATATGTGCCGCTATATTAGTGGCTATGGCAGCGGTTGTTAGTGGACAGGACAGTGAAGTGATAGCCACAGCAACTGGGCCGATTCAGGGCAAGATTCTGGAGTTTGAAGGTAAAAAGGTTGAGACCTTCTTTGGTATCCCTTACGCGAAGCCGCCCTTAGGGGACCTTCGTTTCAGAAAGCCTGTGCAGGTCGACGCCTGGAGCGATGTCATGATGACGAAGGAGTTCTCAAAGCCCTGCGTACAGGCGACGTATATTCACGGCGAAAATGTAACCATAGACTACAAAGATTCAAGCGAAGATTGTTTGACGATCAATGTGTGGAAACCTCAAGGTGGTGCAGAGAAGAAGCCTGTTATGGTCTTTCTTTATGGAGGGGCCTTTCAATATGGTGACTCAAGCCTGTTTATGAATGACGGTCTTCCGTTTTCGGCACTTACGGATGTGATCTTTGTGTCGTTTAACTATCGTGTGGGTGTCTTTGGCTTTTTGAGTACGCGACACAATGACGCTCCTGGAAACGAAGGCTTCTACGATCAGTTGCTTGCATTAAAGTGGGTGAAACAGAACGCGAATAAATTTGAAGGTGATCCTGAAGCAATAACGCTATATGGCCATAGCGCTGGTGCATTTTCAGTTGGATTGCACATGTATTCCCCACTGTCAAAGGGCCTCTTCAAGCGAGTGATCTTCGAGTCAGGTACAGCCCTTTCGCTCGTTACCTTCCAGATGAAGAACGAAATCTCTCGTTTTCACACGCTTATTGGTTTGACCAACTGTAGTCACAGCGTATATTCCGAGGATAAATACAAAGAAACGATGGAATGCCTCCGTAAGGCCGACGCACATGATATGATCGATGGAATCTCCCACCTTGGTCTTTTTGCTGATATGTTTCTGCCTATTTACGACGATGAGTTCATCCCAATTCACCCGCTAATGCCCGAAGACGTAGAGGTCCTTAACGGTGAGGAGGTTCTTATAGGCACAGTGACGGATGAGGGCACTCTATTCATTAGTACGCCTCTACAGAATCTTCTCGCACAGGGAGTCGATACGGCCAAGACTCAGTACAAAGTGGTTCCGTCGACCATTTACCCGAGACTGTTTGATGCACCCTTTGGAGCGATCTACCATAATTTCGATCAATACTTTGAGAACGCGCTTGACAGTTACCCCGATGAAACCGCTTACAATTTGATCGGTCAGACGTACGGAGACGCCGTTTTCACCTGTCCAGCGAATTTGTTCGGTGAGTTTCTGGCTAAACGTGGTCACGCTGTCTATCGTTACCAGTTTACTCACCGCTCATCAATGAAACTATGGCCAGCATGGATGGGTGTCGTGCACGCAACTGATTTACCATATATGATTGGCTCGATGCTAACCCAGGAAAAAAATCTTGAGGATCCTCGCTACAATTACACGCCAGAATGGTTCCGTAAACACAAATTCACTGCTGAAGAAGTGAAGTTCTCAAAACAGCTCGTCCGAATGATAGGTCATTTCGTGAAGACCGGGTAAGTGAGGTATATAGTATTGTCGACAACAAGCCGATACCCAGAATGTCGACTTAGTCGTATATTATATAGTATAACTGATCCGCTAGCAAATATAATAGTGGCCTTAACAAATAGATAGTTAAAGTGTGTAAAAATCCTAATAATGATAACAGTAATCATACAGCCTTATTAAAACGTCAGTCTGCTTATCGACAGTCTTTGTTGAATCAAACGACGATCATTTCTCTACAGTTATATATTCTCAGTTGGGTGTGTTACCAAGATTCATTATATTAGAAATGTTTAGGTAAGGCGCTGGGAAAATGCGTCGCCTTTATGAAAGACAGGTTTAAAAAATACCACAGAAAGGTAGCCAAATATATACTTCAAGTAGCAATCAAACAGTCATCCGTTTGTCATTAATTGTTTAACTATTCAAAAACAGTTAAATTTCATTCAAGTCTGTCGTTCTTGCCATCGGTGACATTTTCTCACTACTTTTCAGTGACTTCAACCAAACTTGTAGCATTGGCTACTGTATTATGCTGCTCTTGCAACTTAGAGAACTCTAGCTGCAGCAAAAAAAATCTGGCCACGTAATCTTTTGCATTTAGTTGACAACGAGAGAACGTCGTACATACGTAACTATTATGAACTTGGGCTGACTGAAAGACGTTTATTTGTGGGACTCGTTGGTAAAACAATGACCCGCTAACCAGATAAATGACAACATAGTTCAACTCGGCACCATCTTATACATGAATCTCAGTTAGTAATGCAATGCGCAAACGACCGTTGTTAATCGCCTGCTAGTTGCTTTGATGGGAAGTTTATGATGATCCATTCGACGTACAGCCGTGAACGCTTTAACCCGTTAGGTAGGACTATTTCAAGGAACAATATGAAAGCTTCAAATTTACCGCCACTCACCGCCAAAGAAAACAAACAAACAAACTGTTATCAATATGTGTTCCAATGGTCGGTTGTACAGAACACAGTCGACCGTCAAGAAGAAAGGAAACCTTTAAACAGCTACCTATTTTGATCTTCAAAGATGCCACTAATGGGCACGCACAGCGAAGGCGTGCTAAATAGGACGCGACCATCCCGTTGTATACCTGATTGTTTACATTTAAGAAAAAGGCCATTTTAAGGTAAAACGCTGTAATCGTCTATTAAACTATCCACCAGGCAGAAAGTTGTAATGCGTTCACATTGAACGATAGCTTCTAATGAGTAAACATCAATAAAATATACACCTAAGAATATAATCACTGTATCATTAAGAAAAAAAAACTATTGGATGTTGTTACCGTCAGTGTACCGTACGTTGTACGGTGATAGTGATGGCATCATTATTTAGCCCTTACCAGATGCCAAGGTAATTAATCAGTCTGTTTGTCGTTTACTTTCTCTGACCTTCTCATAGATTCGTCACTATGGTCACATTTGCCACGTCTGTGACTGCCCGCCTTTACGTCGCTATAAACATTTTTTTCATCCTTCCAACATTAAATAAATTGAGCATTTATTTACGTAACGTCGCCAGCAGCGGCAAACAAGGTCAGAGCCGTCGCGCGAGCTTATCTGTAGTAGTTGGTTCGATGCAGGCCGTGATGATAATTCACATTGTGTTACCAACGTTAACCGTGTATGTCATTAAAGATATAGCTGACACAGTAAGATATTTGCGAATGAACGAAACGTAGAATACAAGTACGAAGGTATAAGTGCCTCTGTCAGGCAGTTGAATTGTATAAAAAAGAAAATTATAAATAGATACCTACAGAAAATACCACAAACAACGTTCAAATAACCGATGTAGCTATTATGGGAAAACTAGTATGACTCATTTGTAAATGTAAATAAATAATTTATGAAGAAAAATTTATAATCGAAGAAAAAGCCGGCTCACTTCAACGATACCACACTCGTATAGACCCTGTTGTTTTGGTTACTTATAGTCCTCATCCTCTAGCCAGTCAAGCCTTTCTTATGCGATCCATCGACGGATGAACAATTTTTTTTAAAGTATTTATTTTCACAAAAAAAAAACTAGATATATGGGTGCTTACCGCTGCTTGTTTTTGTTATTTATATATGCACGATGGTTTATATTTTATCTGTTATTTGTAGCAAAAATAAATAGAGGAGGAAATCGTGCTGTGTGGGTCATTGTCACAGGTCAAGCCTTGCCAGGCGGCCATTAAATCCCAATTCGAGATACTATAAAGTCGCTTGTGCAGATATGGCTCTATCGGCGCCGCTAAAGTATTAAATCTTCTGACAACACTCTGTTTACTGTGCCGAGGAGGAATTTTCGTAGAATCGATTTTAAGCGGCACCACCTGCAGCCAAAATGACCTAGAATTTTTGATCATAGAGAAAAATATATGAGCCAAAGCATCTATACAAACATCAGGTGTTTAATAAATCTGAAATGATCAATATCTGCCTCAGAAAGTTCCGAAACTTGAATAGCTAAAGATGGAAAAACCAAGCGTAACAGAATATGGTAAACCAATACGAAGAATGTCCTATGCTGCTTGTGGTAATAACAGAGCGTTGTTATTTCTCGATCCTAAAAAAGATGGTTTATTCCAAGATGTATCTGTTTTTTTTAGTTTACAGTGCACAAGGACTGCATCTTATTCTAAGCGTAAGTTAGAATCGTGTTCCCTAAAGAAATCGTTCTGTATCATGTGCAAATACAAAAGGTGCTAACGTTCTACTGCAAACAGTACATATAATCAAGTGGCATTAACAATTACCTTTATTAGAAACACACTTGAACGGAGGCGTGCGTATCGAGCACCCATTAGCTATACTCAAAGATTAAAAAAAAAATGTATATTGTACATGTATGCTCAGTGAAGCACAGATGTCCGTAGTATTCACCGCGACAGACAATATCACAATTGATCAGAGCAGTATGAAGTTTTATTAGCATTATAACATGCAGGATGAAGAACAGAAAATACTAAGCACATCAGATATGTTACCAAAAAACTAGTTTTTGTATATTAGCCTCTCTAATTGTGGCGATTAGCGGTGACGGCAAAGCAACGAGCCGCATTCCCGTTAAACATTTACGACGAACTGATGAATCGACCAAGCAGTCGGCTTATCTTCTTTTTTCCGCCCGAAAGTATACGTTGGTTTCAGCGCCGGTTGACGATTTACCACTGGATAAAACGAGGTGTCGTGAAAGGAAGTATTTCGTTTCTTCCAAAAGCACTGCTGGCGATCTTCAGATCTTTTCCCGCTTATTTCTTATTCACTGATTTCATCTTCGTAGCAGAACACTCAGTCAGTCCTATAGATTATGACAGCTAGCTCAAATCCAGTCCGCGCTGAAAGTTAACCCATCAGACAAATCGAGTCAAATGCGAGAGCAGGTTGGCCGATAACAACAATGACGACGACACAGATAACAACAATATCTGCACGTAGTTCAATGGTCGTCTAAAGGCGCAATTGCAACGGCGTGCAATGGGTCGCTTACGCGTGTGTTTGTTTATCTGTCCGTCTATCTTGAGCATTACGACCCATGGACTACTGGTGCCTTGGCAGGGGTTGAGGTTGGGCAAGACGGTGCCGCAGGTGCACAGGTTTAGCGACAACATCTGCAAAAGCAGCTGTGTCGCTAATCGCTAACTGCTCGATGTAAGCAGTGGGTCGTTGTGCTTGAAGTTACCTTACCGCGGCCCGACACTCACTGGCGCCGATGCAGCCCCATCTCATGCTGGTCGTTTTGGGGCTGTCAACGATGGCAGCGGTGACAGGTCCTGGAAGAACCGCTCATTGGTTGCTGGAGTATGCCGACACTATGAAAGCTAGTTAATTTTTTTCAACTGTTGCTTGACAATTCTGACAAGTTACGAATATCAAAGCCGGAGTAGTAATAGTAGAAACAAATCACTTACGGCAGTAACTGTAAGCAATTCTACAATGTTCCATATTAGAGGATTATTTGTTAATACTGATAGCAGTATCGTACAATCGGTATGAGCAATATATATGTATTAATTGCACGTGCCCGTTACTTAAATTTCTCGGCAAGACGGGTGCCGGCGTTTTGCCGTCAAAACATTGTAATATGGTAGTAAATATAACTGGTGTCGTTATGCAAACTATTCATATAATATCAGTGTTATCTTCGGTGCGCGAGGGGTTCAAGGGAGTGAATTAACTCATGGCAAAGAGGAAAATCCCTGAGTTGTTCTGATTATCTAACACCGACGAACTTCGCCTTGCCAATGAAGCGTTGCATGATACGATAGAATATAGTAATATCTCCTAAGCTGCATGTCGTGAGCTTTGCTATGTTATTAGCGATGTTTAGGTATGGCTTTTTTCGGGTGGACAGAGGAATGAAGCTTACGTGGGGCACACAATAAGGTTTCCTTCTACGTTAGAATTGTGTCCTGTTACGTAATTGATGAAATGTTTCATTTAGTCGCTTGGCGTAGAAAAGATGATGTATATGACTTCACTTTTGGACACTTGAAATCGAGTAGACGTTATTTGCCGGTCGATTTTTGGACGTAGGAAAGAAGTGCGGCTAGAAGCTAAACACGGACAGAATATCCGTTAACTACAGGTCTGTCCATCTGTACTACGTTGATTTCAATTTATGTCGAAAAACAGGGTTGTAGTAGTTATTGTTAGAAAATGCCTATGGGTTTTTATGCTGTTTATTATATATTTACAATCGCAGATTTTACTATAACTTGGTGTCGACGTAATACACATAGATTGTGAGTAATCGGTAAGGTAACAATCCGCTGTTTGGGTGTTCCTATTTCAATAAGCATAATACAGCCGAAATTTCAGTTCGACTGTGTTTAACGACATTTATTCATAAAATTAGGTTATAATTTAGTTGAAGAGCATTTATAGAAAATTTTAGCGCATACGGGACACTTTTACTAGCTTTTCCCATAGATGAAGTTACGCTTCTTACCATACCTCTCCGTCTTCTTCTTCTTCTTCTGTCACAAAATCTTCGACCTTGC